GGGCGCGTTTGATTGCATTCGAACTTCTAACGTGTAATATTTTTCTCGAGAAGTTAAGTCTTACAGGTGGTTGCTCACAGTATACGCACTAAGTATTTGAAAGACCAGAGAGAGAAGTTTAGTGTTTCAAAATAAAGCTACTGTTTATATAGTACTGATAAGTATCACTATATTTCATTTAGTAATATTTAAATTGTATAAATACTACAAATTATCGCCTAAACAATGTACTGGGTCTGATAACGTAAGCCCCATTTTTAGTAACATTTAAACAAAGACACACCTACCTAAAAATCAGTGTTGTAATGAAAAAATCTCAATTCTGTTGGTCAAGGTTTAAACGCAGCTCTATATGGAGTAGAGCAGCGAGTTAGTTAATCAATATCGGTTGGGATTAAACTCGTTCAGTTTGGTATAAGGCAGTATACTATCGTATCGTCGCATACAATCGCTTAATAGGACGCGTGGCACCCGGACTCATATATCACGTTATGTGCTTAATTAATAAATTATAATTAATAAGAATTGCTTGCGTTGATTTTATGATAGCATTTATGCGTAAGTTTCTGTTTGTTGAACTGTATTATAATGATGAAGCCGAGTGTTCGTATTGCAATTGTCCAAAATGAGTTTTAGGTATTGGGATTTTGGAGGCACTAAGTTCTTCTACATAGAATAAACACTATGTAGGTATTACCTTCGTCTGAAATGATGTGAACATGTTGTGATAAGTTGAGATGTCAAAGCCCACAATAACAAACGAAACTCACAACCCTTTTTCACTAGAGTCTTGATGGAAAATTGAATCGTTGTTTCCAAAACCTGTTTACAAGAATACTTCTTACGAATTTATTCAGTAGATGTAGGTACTGTATGTTTAGCTAAACCCTTCAAAGGAGAAATTTTCAATTGGATTCCATTCAAAGGCCCTTTATCGGTGAAATATTACGTAGAATATGTAAGTTAAAAATTTGATCTTCTCGACCGCTTGCTTCATATCTGAAGGTCGTGCCCCTGAAAGGCTTTCATTGCTCTCTGTATTATTTCCCGCCATCTTGTCCTGTTTTCGGCTTCTCTCAGGGCTTTCGTAACAGAGAGTCCAGTGTAGTTGGTAACTTGGTCACACCATCGGCTAGGCGGTAAAAATGTGATATCGGTTGTTAAATACTCTGTATAATCGTCCTGTTTATAGCACATAGAATCACAAGACACAATCACTATTTAAACAATATATCTATACGCGTCGCACGTGCCGCAACAAATTGGTCCAAAAGCCACGTGAACTGCGAAAACAAATGACAATATTTGACCAATCAAGTTCAACGCCTTTGTTACGACTCAAGATTAATTTAATGATCTCATTGTTATCAAAACTTTTAGGTACATTTACGTATGTAAATAGATACATACCTCCTTTTCAATCATTTTCTTAACTATGTTTTTAAACTATGAAAATATGTGTTGTTTAAGTGTGGGAGAGCCATGCTTCGGCACGAATGGGCCGGCTCGACCGGAGTGATACCACGCCCTCACAGACTACCGACGTGAAACAACGTGTTGTGTTTCGTCGTGTGAGTGAGGTTACTGGAGGCCCAATTACCACTCTCCCTAGTCTCCCGAATCCCTGAATCCTCAAATTCCCAATTCCCAAAAGGCCGGTAACGCACTTGTAACGCCTTGGTGTTCCAGGTGTCCATGTCCAGAGTGGCGCCGATTGTTTCACTTATGAAAGAATTTTAGAAGAAATTGATAATGAAAATATGTCATAGGCCATAAACCGTATATATATAAATTGAATACGCTAGCCAATCAAGTGAAATGTTTTTTTTACTTCAGCTGTGGTCAGTTAATTGTTCACTCTGTCCTGATTCCGTGGCCTTATAACAAAACAAAAAAAATAGCAACCGAAAAAAAGTAAGTAATAAAGTCCACAATAAGCTTTGTTATATTTCTTGAAAATGTTTATAAACATTTATTACAAAATATTTCTGACAAGTAAATGAAGAAATATGCATTGTGTATGGTCACCATCAACAAAATAACAGGAATAATATAGCACAATTTTCATATCTTTGAACTGATTTAACTCGGTTTGGACTGTGTTTTTGATATAAGCCCCATATATTTTTTTGTTTGTAATGTTATTCTGCATCAGTTTTTGCACATCCGATCAACTGCCGCGAAAAAATTAAAAATCCCCACGCTCCATACAAATTTGGTCATTGTCATTTGGTGGCAGTATGTTAGTCCCTAAAAACCGCTAAAGTTATACATACGACCTATATAACTTTGGTTTAACGGCTTGGTTCAGATCAGTGCTCGCTAATAATAGTATTTTAACATCTATTTTAGATTGCTAAAACAGATGTTTTTTTTAAGAAGGGGGAAAATCATCGAATTGCTGCTCCCGCCTGGGTGAGGCGGGAGGGAGTGTCAGACTCTTACTGACTAAAAACCACCCCGTTGCTTCTCCTGCACGTCGAGCCGGAGCCCCGGTAACCGGTTAGATTCTCCGCGATAAAACAGATGTTTAAGTACTTGATTTTATACAAAGTTCATAGCAACGATCCGAGGTGGCACTTGCTTAAGCAAATATGTCAGGCGGTAAATATACTTAAACTTACAAACAAACTTAAGTTGTATATCCATTGTATTTCTTTTGGTATCCATGGGGTATTAAAGAGTATCGAGTACTCCAATTTATTCAAATTTTGTATGAATTTTTTTTTTATACTTTATAGGTCGACGTTTGACCACCATCTCGCCTGATGGTAAGCGATGATGTGGCCGACGATGGAGCACGCCTACCTATGAGCAACCTGTTCACTCGGGACTTACGTATTAAGGATTCACTGTACAACCATAAATCGGGCACAATATTAGCATTTAGACTTTCAACATACGGTGTGTCGCGTTCTGCGCGCGCCTCAAAGAGCCATCAGACCACCACGGATGGGGCCCAACAGGGCTGATGCTGATTCGGAGTCGCGGAGAACCTAACGGGTTACTGAGGCTCCGGCTCGAAGCGCAGGAGAAGGAACAGGGTGGTTTTTAGTCAGTAAGAGTCTGACACTCCCTCCCGCCTCGCCCAGGCGGGAGCATTCATTCGATGATTTTACCCCTTAATAAAAAAGGCTTTCAATGATTGATAAAAACAAGATAAAGTCTAGTCGTTCCGGAATTGAGCCCGAAGACCCTTGTTTGGCATCCCTAGTTTTTATTTTAATTATTATCTTTATTTATTTAGAGGCTTTTATCTATAGTTGTGACCACAGAACTCATCGAGGCCGTACATCTTTATACAAGAGATATAAGAGATAATAAGTCATAATTTATGAATAAGCACTTAACTTATAGATATTTATCGAAGGGTAAAAGTACAGAAGTATTATATTTATTGTTATATTGTGAGCAATAACTGTTGATTGGATAATCGCAACATGTCAAGGGCACCTATAGATATTATAATAATATGTCTTTACCTATAAAATTGCCATTTTGTATGGAAAAATTAAACGATTTTTTTTTGTATTTTTCATTTGTATTAATGGAAGTAATCATCCATGCAATCAATGCATTTTTGCCAACGCAGTGGCAGATTATGCTGGACAGGAGGCAACAAATTCTTCAAAGGCATTCTGTACTGCCTCTCGGGTATTGATTTTTTTTCCCGCTATGAAGTTATCCAAAAGTTACTACTTTTACTGTAAGCGCAAGGTCTGGTGAGTAGGGCGGATCATGGACAGCTTTCAACCGCAGTTCTTGCAATTTGGAGATCTTCTGCTGTGCAGTATGGGGTCGCGCGTTGTCTTGCAGGAGCAGCGGAGACGAACGCTTGACCAATGCTGGTTGGAGATGTGCCACCTTCTCCATTAGTGTGTTCAGTTCACATCAGCAGTAATGCTCACCCCGTTTGATAAGAAGCTGTGATGAATCACATCGGCGCTAGACCACCAAATAGTAACCACCACTTTACTAGGGGTAGGTTTTCGTTCTGGAGCATTGCTTAGGTGCTGAACTTGGATCCAACCAAGTTGCTGAACGCTTGTGATTATCAAACAGAATCCATTTTTCTTCGTAGGTAACAATGCATTTCAAAATTCCTTCATTTGTGTAGCTGTTGATCAGTGCAAGGCACGTCTCGATGTATATCGCTGGCGATCATTGATTTCGTTGGGCACCCATTTGTCAAGCTAGTCATTTTTAACGTATCCATGATGACGAAAAATATTGAAATGTGACACCAATCAATAAACGAATTAATAAAAATACCATGTTTTTAAAATAAAATTCATTTATTCAAATAAAAAACTTAAATTAAAAACTAACTATTACTTAAAAAAAATTAAAACTAATATAATAATATTTAGTTTTAATTTTTTTTTAATAAAATTAATTTGAATTTAGAACTCTTAGCCAAACAAAAATTATTTCGATTTGAAATGGCCAGTACTGCAGAACAGCAATTTAATAGGTAAAGACCTAATGATTTTATTACTTGTATGTCCCTAAATTTTAATTAATTACTAACTTAACTTATGTAACTAACTTAATTTATTATTAACTTATTACTAACGTGGATTAATAACGCAACCTGAACTATGTATGAATTGTCATAATTTAACGCTTATCTGAGACTGAATTATTTCATGCAATTTTGCCCTGAATTCCATAATGTTATTGGGTTATTCATGTCAATACAATAAGTTGTCACAGATCACATAGGTAAGTTTATCTCCAAGTAGCTTACGTGAGTCACATGAAACAAGTTCTTGAAGTACCTAAATATTAAACGGTTTAAAAATAAATGAACAACTTACATTATTTACAATGATACACAATTCTTCAATGAGACACATTTGTAATTGTATGTTAATATAATTGCTTCTGATACACCACTATAAGCCGTTTACGAAGGCTCAGTACACAAACAATCTCCAATAAAACAGCTTGTGTTTACAATCCTAAATATTAATTTATTAAAATCAGCTTTGGATATTATGACGAACGCGATAAATAATACGTTTAGAGTGAATTTTTTTAAGATCTGTGGGTTTTCGTTGTTAAATGTGAGGTTATGGCTGTATAGTGTAGCATTAGTGCATCTTATAGTTACAGCTATTGTGACCTTAAGTATAGATGTCACTGTCGACGAGGATCGTTCAGTCAGAGCCTATCATCATGTGCGATGGAAACTCATCACCTGCTGGTTTAATGTAAATATAACTACATACAATTATTCGGTACACATCTGTGTATGAGACATGTTATGTATGTTACTGCAATAATGTATGTCTCATCATCATCATCATCATCATCAATCATCATCATCATCATCATCAACAGCCTATAAATGCCCACTGCTGAGCAACGCCTCTTCTCACATAGAAGGTGCATAATCACCACGCTTGCTCAATGCGGGTTGGCAATTTCAAACTTATAATTAGAAATTATAAGTCCAGGTTTCCTCACGATGTTTTTCCTTCACCGTTTGTCAGTGGTTTCTAAATAATGTTAGAAAGTACATATAACTCGGAAAAAGTCACATTGGTACTTGCCGTTGGTAGGTTTCGAGCCCGCACCCTCATGCATGAAAAGCGGGCGTCTTAATCCTCCGGGCCACCACGACACATGTATGTCTATAAAGCTGTTAAGAGACTAATTGATAACCTAATGTTATCAATTAGTCTCTAGTTGAAGTCTCTTGTTGATGTGTTAGTTAGTATTATTTGTGGATGTGTTTGTAACTAAGTGTCTGGTTCAAGGAGTTACTGATCGGTTTAGGTTAGGTAATTACTGATGATATTGATGATGATATTTTTCAGTTGTAGTTGTCGAATGAACCATGTACAAATACATACTCTATATATATAAAAATGAATTCCTTTTTCCCTTAGTCACGGCAACACGCGTGAATGGCTGGACCGATTTCACTAATTCTATTTTTGTTGTATTTGTTTTTATTAGGAGAAGTTTCTTAAAACAGTCAAATCCTAAAAATCCTACGGGAACAGGAAAAAATGGAGTCACGGGCAGAAACTATAATTAAAAAACTATATCCCGACTACGAAAAAAATACGCTCTCAAAAGTAGGTATCAACCCGGAAAACTTTCTTATTTCAAAACTTTTTAGCTATACTATAATACTGTATTTATCGTCTTTTAATAAATAATGATCTTACATCTATATATATAAAAGAAAGTCGTGTTAGTTACACCATTTATAACTCAAGAACGGCAGAATAGATTTGGCTGAAAATTGGTAGGGAGGTAGCTTAGAGCCAGGAGACCGACATAGGATACTTTTTAACCAATTTTTTTTTACTTTTTACCGGAAATCACGAACGGGAACGGGATAAAATGGGATTACGCGTACGAAGTCGCGGGCAGAAGCTAGTGGTTATATAATTAAAAAAAAAATATATATAATCATTTTGATGTTCAGAGGACAGCTATGGTTGTATTCGTATGCCACATTGCTCTATAGTACATATGGTAATGGCAGCCCTAATTAAGGTCGACTAAGTATAGTTCATTGTTTCCATTGCAGTTGATAACCTTAGCCTACCTGCCTCTCTGCCTGTTCTGCGATTGGTGTGAGAAGCGAGAGAAGGAGCCTCCTCACGTTGCAAAACTGAGGGTGCTCCGTGACGTCATCATGACATCTATCTTGATGCCTACCACTACTGTGAGTTGAAGTGCGCTTAGTCTCTTAGACTGGGTAGTTAGTGTGGAAGTTCGTATAAGGCTTAGCTCTCAACACAAATCATGATGGTTGCATATCTCGCACACTTATTTTTAACATAACATTATGATGTTATGACATCACGCCTTTTATCCCCGAAGGGGTAGGCAGAGGTGCACATTATCTACGGCATTTAATGTCACTGTACAATGTAACACCCACTTTTCACTATTTATGTTATGAGTCCCATGTAATAGGGGGTGAGTTTATTGGCATATACCGGGCACAATTCCAGACTCCGTGCTACAACAGAATTGTTTAAAACCCAGTAGTACTTTGCCCGACTCGGGAACCGAACCCGAGTCCCCTTGCCCGGCAGTCGCACTTGCGACTACTCGGCCAACGAGGCAGTCTTATTTTTAACATGAAGTTTAAATGTAGGTAGACTAGTTTCGTACTCGTCTTTGAAAAGTAGTCAATGACATTAAATGTAATATTTATCACTGTATCGAGAAGCAATCGAAGTAGATATGATATCCATTTAATTACACTTTTATTTCATTTTCATTGTTATGTTTAATGGCTAATAAAAGATAAAAAATTTGAATTTAAAAACTCGACAAGCCCTTAAAAATTATAACAAAGTTCTGCGTCTTTTTTTCGGTATAGAGGTATACCTATAGTTTGTCATAATTGTTCATTGGTTCATCCCAATAGTCTTAGGTCCTTTGAACCTTCTATTAAGGACCGATCTTATCGAACATAGTACTGAGAATGTCTGAGAAAACTTAACAAAACTTTACTCTCAACTCTTAGTTGTATAGGTACATGTACATTTTGTTTGTAGTTATAACTGTCAAGCAATTTTTAACCTTATTACAGTTTGCCGACATCACATTTTGGGTCACTTTTCTCTCTGACCCGAGCATCATCGCGCCTCCTCGAGTCTTCGAGTATTTGCCGTACTGGTCTCAGCATTCCTTGCATACAGTTTCCATGGTAACCGTTATCATGGACTTACTCCTCACTCCTCGAAAGAGACCTGACAGTATGAAGCCTCGGTTGGGTTTGATGGTGGGCTTTGGAACTGCCTACACTCTTATGTAAGTATTGGTTTCTTGTAAAGGCATCATTATCATCATTATTATCACCCTATAAGTGGCCACTGCTGACTAAAGGCCTCTTCTCATACGGAGAAGGTTTGAGCATTAATCACCACGCTTGCTCAATGCAGGTTGCAAAGGCAACGATTCCTAAATCTGTCTGAGTGCAAAAAAGATTATGGGAACATGGATTAATGATGTTTTTTGAGACTTTGTAAGCGGTATTAGAAAACTTTATTGCTTAAATAGATTTGTTGACGCAATAGTACAATAGATTTATTAAAAATTAGTTAACGGTTCGATTCGATACAGATTGGATAATATAATTTTAACAAGCAAAATCTTCTATGAACAATCCTGAGCTTCGACCCTAAGAACTTGCTAGGCACTTTTAACTATTTTACCATCAAACCAGTCGGTATGAAATTATCAAATCAATTATTTGTATTATTTATTGTGCGTAAATTAATACTAAAGTAGCTATAAGTAGCTAAAAGCACACGGGCCACCTGATGGTAAGCGGTTACCGTGGCCTATGTACGCTTGCAACACTTGGAGCTGGCATGCGCCTTGCGTCTGCTCGAAAAACCTATTTACTCCCTTCTTAAGTAAATTAAGTAAAAACCGCGGGTTACTCACGTGAATATACTGAGAAAAGCTCTACTAGTTTCGAACCACAGAGGGGTTCTTCCTCATGAGCAGCGTGTGCGGTCACGGCGACGTCGCGCAGCTCACTGGCTGGCGTTGGCGCTCGCTTAGGTGTTGCTACTTGCGCTGCGAGCCCGACTCCCTTCTTTTTCTTTTCTTTTCTTTCTCCCTTTACCTTTTTTTTGCAGGGTGTATGTGAGCTTCCTCCAGGGCGAGCCAGTGTACGGGTTTCTGTCAACTGCTAGTGATGCCATTGTTCTTTCAGTATACTTAATCTTCCTTATAGTATTAACAATTAGCTTCTATGTACAGTGGCATATAATTGATTATGTCTGGAGCCATAAAAGAAAGAAAAATAAAATAAAGGTCGTAGATTAAGCATAGCTAAATTGTTAATTTAATTTAAAATGTTGTGTTTATTAGGCGATGATACTTATACTGTTTTTCATATGGGAATGTCTTGATTTTCATTATATGATTAAATTACTAGTAAATTAAATAAAGTGTTAATTTATACATATTTGATTTTGTTTTATTTTAATTGAATTGTATTGTATTGTTTTTATTGATTTTTAAGTGATTATTTTTTAATTTGTTTATTTTGTATTTTGCTTATTATCAAAACCGTGTTTGACACAAACGTTTTGTTTATGAATAACCATTTATTCGTTTTTAATTGATATAAGGATTTGAATAAATAAAAATGTACCGCTGAGACCTTTGGCGAGCGTCAGAATCAGGCAGAGGTATCTTTACAGTGAAACTGAACTGTTTTTGTTATAGAAAGCCAGATTGAGTGTTATAACATTCTAAACCTTGCATTCTCATACTCATACAATCCTAAAAAAAAAAATTAAAACAATAAAAAAACCATTAACCAAAATAAAAAGTTTATTGTTACAAAAAAAAGCATATTTACAATAATTATCACCGTTTATATACTTAGTTCTAGCTACATATAAATTCAGTACAGCCTATAGGTACATATTTCTAGACCTAGATACGAATAAATACCTAATTGAGCAACTAACATAGGCAAGTATACTAAGGCGCTGCGCAAACGAAGACACTTCCAGTTATCGATACTTTTTGATCGATATTAAGTAAGTGAGAAGTGATAGTAGCTGGACACTGGACACATGTATGCGCAGGGAGTGGGAGCATACTGGTTCTTTAAAAATCAAATATACCTACATCGATTTAAAACAAAATGTAAAAGATCAAACATTCAAACTATTTGTGTATAGTTTTGATGGACAAGGCGTTACATTGTAAGGTATTTTTCTTTTTGAGGGGGGAAATCCTACTGACTAAAAACCACTCCGTTCCTACTCCTGCACTTCGAGCCGGAGCCCCGGTAACCCGTTAGGTTCTCCGCTGAGATTGTAAGGCATACCATGTACTTTATCCCCGAAGGGAGAAAGAGGTGCACATTATGCCACTGTACAATGTAACACCCACTTTTCACTGTTTATGTTTTGAGTCCCATGTAATAGGGGGTGAGCCTTGCCATATATAATATTAAATAAATAATAATAAACTTTTGCTTTGCTACGAATTCTTATTTTTTGTAAACTTTCGTAGTAGTCGTATAGCAAGAACGATTTACAAAAATATAACACATACAATTTTGAGTATTGTTATTGAAGAGGAAGATAACAAAATTATTATGTTGTTAATTTACTTAGGTAAACAGGTATAGCTTAAATGTTCGCATCTGATATCGAACTTAAAAGAGTCCACGTTTGCGCCCTGCCTAACACAAACATTTGTGTACAGCTCCTACAAACTGGTAGGTACGGAAACATGATAAATGATAATTTATCTAAAAGTAATCCTATACTTAATTACGAAGGCTTATTTCACATTGTAATTACAAGCAAACATTTCCCTAAAGAACGTTGTAGAGCTAAAAATGCAATGCTTGCAATTAAAATGTTATTAAGTTTTAAATTTGACGATCCCATATTGTGACATTAGAACAAAATATTTCCTTTTTCACGTCAAAATTTATCTTCAGTAAGTTTAATAGGAAAAGTAGCCTTCACAGCCTTGTCTTTTAAACAAGTAATATAAGTTGAGAAGATAAAAACTTACTTGCAACTCTTTGTACCACGTTATAAGGTTTAAAATAACTGAATGAAGTTTAGTTTGTTTTAAAAGCATTTTGGAAACGTATCACAGTTTTTTACCTTTGGACCCATCGTATAAGACTTAGTGCTTATTTCTAGTACTTGAAAACGCAGAATTTTTATAAAGTGATTGAGACTTTTAATGCTCAGCGAAAAAACAAATTAAGTTTATTTATTTTAATACACCGTATATTCGTATTTTCAATTTTCTACTTAAAATCGGTTAATAAATAATTAAATTATTTTTTAACACCAATACTATTAGAAAAAAAATACAAAGAATTTGCTACGAGTGCTACGAATTCTCAATTTTCGTAGACTTTCGTAGTAGTCGTAGCAAAGTTACGATTCGCAACAATTATCTAGGAGCTTCGTTTTCGGAAACGTAATAATATTTTTGTTTGATTTCAGCTACTATGATTTCTTACTACGCTCAAGATATTATGTCTTAAAGGCTTGTCTTTTATTTAAAAAGTATCTCTGAGCAAAAAGTCTCGATTTCAACGTTGAACATAAGAGGGTAGTATTTAACATTCTACGATATGTTATCAAAAATAAATTCAATCATTTCATTCAATTAAGTCGTATTCAATCACTTTCTACTATAACTAAATTTATTATTTGATTTTATAATAGGGTAGTTTACAAAATTTCTCTCAATCGTTATCACTCACTACTAATAAACATAAGCAAAAATGTAATCAGTGGAATAACTTTAATATTCATCACTATTAAAAGTAAATGAGATGTTACGGTAGGTACTTTAGATCCCTACAACACTTGTGCACTCATATTTGTTAAAATATTTCTTTTTACAATTGAAGGAAACTGCCCTATTATTAATCATTTCTTCTTCGCGAATAATGACTTACGAGTGAACCGTCTTTACTCTACCTACAGTTACAATTATTCACATTTATCGTACGGCATCCAGTTTCCACTTCAGTAGGACGAAGGCTGCAATCCTGAGGGTCACCACGAACACGGAGAGCGCCAACACATCCCACCAGAACTCATCGGGAGACATCGCCACCTCGTTTAAGAATGTACGGGGATGTCTGAAAAAAATCGCGATAATTAGGTGATTCGTTTAGCTTACCCTTCGAAGAGTCTCTAAAAGTTCTATGACTTCTCTGTTGCTGGACTGTGACTGTATCAACAAAATTGCTTCAATAGATTTGTCACAGCCAAATAAACTTACAATAAAAACTTTTGTGGAACTTGTAAGAAACTATATGAATAATCCTAGGTAATTCACCATTTTATATGAAGAATGCAATTACTTACTTGTAATGACAGTACAAAGACTCGCAGTCGAGGATAGGTCTACCCAGTCCATAGATGGCGCCAATGAATCCTTCAAGTCCGTATCTCAGGTAAGAGATGTAGGATCCCCAGCGCAAGTATGATGGCAGGTCCCGAAGGGTGACTCCGAAACCAGCGAACATCATCATTGGTACTGACAGTGTTGGGCCTAAGAATGTGCCGTTCTGTAAAAACAGAATTGATATTTTTTATACTGTCGTTCTCATTTGCCATGTTACGAATTCCTTTCGACACAGAATTATTTTCGACACTGTACATGTGTAAATATGGAGAGATTCGAAAGCCTACGTATAATGATTGAATTAAAATCAAGCTGTGTTTTTAAGATGGTTGCAATAAACAAAAACTTCAGGATAAGGCATTATGAGTTTTTCGACTAGGCTGTATTTAGCCTATCAGCTTTATAAATGATTCCACGACACGAAAGTAGAAATAAACGAACTTCTAAGAGTGTTCCTACTGAATATATTAAAAGCGCCGTAACAGTTTTAACAACATAATACTCAAATTAGTCTCTTTGGTTACTAGGTTCATTTTGATCAATAAAACTACTCACGACAACGCTGAAGACGGCGCCGATCATGAGCCCAAAGCTCTGCGCCACCAGCACGGTGTACAGCGAGATCGCGAAAAACATTGAAAACCTCGCGATCTCCAGCGGCTGAGACGACATCGTGTACACTATCACACTGAACACTGCGCAGCCTACTATCTGGAATTAAAAAAAAAAATCTTAAATAGACGCTAATATATTTTGAAAACCTTATTATGAAATATACAGCCTACAGTGTATTGAATACCGTAGAAAAACCGACGTAAAACAACGCTTGCGTTGTATATTGTCGTGTGAGTGAGATTATCGCCTACCGGAGGCCCAATTACCCGTCTCCAATCTCTCCAAACCGGGAATCCCCAACAATCCTTAAATTTCAAACCACCAATAGGCCGGTAACGCACTTGTAATGCCTCTGGTGTTTCGGGTGTCAATGAGCTGCGCCGATTGCTTACAATCCGGTACCATGCGGTAATCCGTCTGTTTACGGCGCATTATTGGCGCATATCGCATAAAAAACAGAGTTCCTACTTTTTAAAAATCCTTTATTCAGTCTATCGCCATTGTCAAACTTTAGCATTATTTAGTGTGTTTTAAATAATTGATGTTAGTTAATTGTTATATGCTTTTAAGGGAAATACTCATTCATTACATTTAAAAAGTTTATCTAGATAAGTATTTCTGAGAGGTACTTACCGATATAGGTAGATCGACAATTGTTATTGATATGTAATATGATCCCAAGGAGTACCATCTGTTGAAGTGTTCTTTGGACAATATCGACATCTCATTAGGGACTGTAAACAAACAAACACAGAAATATGAAATGATGACTTATGTAGATATTCATAAAGATTACATTTCGTTAACATGATCTAATTTATGACTTGCAAAGGGCAATCGCATTTACAGAATCAAAGTGTGTACCTATTTTTTTTAAGGGGGAATAATCATCGAATGACTTCTCCCGCCTGGGTGAGGCGGAAGGGAGTGTCAGACTCTTACTGACTAAAAACCACCCCGTTCCTTCTCCTGCACGTCGAGCCGGAGCCCCGGTTACCCGTTAGGTTCTCCGCGACAAGACCTATAGAGATACTATAAAATTTGGAACTTCTCCTACGCGTTCTTTTATTAACTAGTATTAAGTAGTTAGTATCAATCAATCTTGATTTATCTTTCTGTATGATAAAACTTTTTCTAAGAATTGTGTCCGGTATTAAACAAATGGTTAGATGAATTTATTAAAATGTAGCTAATAATAAAGGAAATGCTTACAAGTGAGGATTGTCAACATCATGGGAGACATCATATGGTGCATGAGGATGGCGAACAGCAAGTTGTAGTTCTCCAGCACTCTTTCGCCTTTGTTACCAGCATTGATGAACAGGCTTCCCAACATTATGCCTACCACCACGTTCACTATCAAACGCAGGTGAGTCATCGTCTGGAAGTGAGTTAAATAAATATTAGTTTATTTATGTTGCTATTCAAAGTATTACTGGGTTTTAAAAAATCTCAGTAGTAGCACATAATCTGGAAATGTCCGGTATGTGACAATAGGCTCACCCCTTATTACATGGGACTCATAACTTAAATAGTGAAAAGTGGGTGTTACATTGTACAGTGGCATTAAGTGTCGTAATGTGCACCTCTGCCTACCCTTTCGGGGATAAAAGGCGTGATGTTATGTATATTATGTTTCGTAAGGAAAAAGGAAAATAGAGTTCATAACTAACTAGAAACGCTTGACTACATTTTTATTATTTTTGACTGAAATCTATATATATAAAAGAAAGTCGTGTTAGTTACACCACTTATAACTCAAGAATGGCAGAATAGATTTGGCTGAAAATTGGTAGGGAGGTAGCTTAGAGCCAGGAGACCGAAATTTTTTTTTTACTTTTTTCCGAAAATCACGAACGGGGACGGGAAAAAATGGGATGGTACGCGTACAAAGTCGCGGGCAGAAGCTAGTTAAGACATAAAGATATGTCATGACGGCATCAAGAGGCTTCTTCTGCTATTGACGAAGTTACATTGGTGTGGATGGATCACAAACATTTCGGTTAAACTCGGTTAGCCGACATTGGTTTTCTGAGCCTTACTTATTTATAAAAACTTCTGTACTACTATCATTAACTTACAAGGCCAGAAGAAAAACGTGACCATTAAGACTATTAAGGTCTTTATCGTCAGCTAATCTCCACGAGACATACACAAGACATACTTGAGCCAAGACTCCAAATGGTATTATTTGGGAACTTATGTTTAGTAACTAAACATTAAACAAAATAGTTAAAATACTTACCGCATCCCTCTTGGCTTTAAGAATCCTCTCTTCATAAGTACGCTGAGCTGGTTGGACTGACTGGTTTCCTCATCTCCTCCTGTAGGTTCTGTATCTCTCAACACACTGAGTGGCACCAGTTTACGTAGACCTTCCATAGAGGGGATAGACTGGTGGTCATCAAACCAGTCCAGCGCTTTGCCATTCTCTGACTTGTTTGCCATAAGGTCTATTTTGTCTTGGCCGTATTCACCACATGAGAGCTCGATTACTGAAGAAAGAAAGGAAAGGTTTTTAGTCATGTCGAAAATAAAGATTTGTTTAACCTGTGAAGTGTCGTCACAATGTATTTTCTATTGTTTTATACATATCGACAGGTCGACAGACAAGAGGTTCAGTTTTTATCGATTAATCGACTGCTTACAAGGGTGAGTGATGAACCTGGGGTTTTTCGAACAGGCAAAAAATTATTAAGCAATTTTGGTAGGCTCCTAATATTTTTATCAATACCATAGAATTTTGTTTATAAATAGCTCTATCAGAAATAATTATCGTTAGAACGTCCATTGTTAGGCGATGTTTGTTTGAATTGTTAATGAATGTTTACGAAGTTTTAATTACTTCCTGAGCGTTTGTGTTGTTAAAATAATAATTATAAAAATATCTAACATTGAATTAATTGTTCATGTTGAAAGGTCAAAGATCAAAATGTGTTACGAATTTATTTAATTTTGTTGTATTAAAATAATCAGCATGTAATGACGTCAGAATTGCGGGTAATATATATACATATTCTTCTCTGCCCTTATTACACGGCAAATTCTTCTACAAAAAGATATAACCAAAGGAAAAGTAGACATAAAAACAAATACTTACTATAATCAGCAGGATTATGGTATTTGGGACAAGGGATCCCAGCTTGTTGCAAATAAGGTACTAAGTTCTTCGTGGTACCCTGATACATGCAACGACCTGCAGCCAGGACATACACCTGGTCAAAGAGTGCGAACAGTGATGCTGAAGGTTGGTGTACGGTACATATGATGGTTCGACCCTGGTGAGCCAAGGTTTGGCAGAGCTGGACTACTTGTGTACATGATGAACTGTCTAGACCTCTGGAAAAGAGAATGGTTGAAAACTTAAGCCCATACTAGCATTTCCATTTCTGTCGTAAAAGCGTTTTGTGGATAAGGCAAAGTATGTTTCTGTGGATATTGAACCAATCATGAAACATTGTGTACAAGAATTCCTTACGCGTTCCTATTAGAAGTCGCCGGTAAAGGAATTCGTGACTAAATTAGAATTTGCGAGTGGTAACCTATTCGTCAAGAATATTCCTAAACATATTTTTATTGAATTCTATTAAAACTTTACTTAACGTAATAATAACAACGAAGACACGTTTTATTAAGATACCTTAAAGAAGAAAATTGAGAATGAAATTAGAGTTTTATTAACCATCATTAGGTAGTAAATAATGTGTCAGTTAGATATGACCCCGATGTGTCCAAGTCACGTGCATTCTATGTTTGTGCACATTACTGATATCTTCATACACAGTGGGGTAAAAGTTCAAGCGTGGAGGAAATAATTCTAATTACAATACTATTAATAGACCAAAACTATCAATCACATAACAAGAAAGCTGATAGTTTATATTATGTATGTATATAGATATTTTTTATGGAAAATAATTATTTGCTTATTTGAGAGAATTATTAATATTCCATAATTTTTTTAACCTACATATTATTATGTCTTATTAGCTTAAATTACGTACACATTTTTTTTTAAATCGTCAAGCTCACCACAAACTCCCAAAACCGCTGGAACTCCTGTAAGCCAGGATCTAAAGTAGATACAACTATGAAAACACCGGAACACTGAAGTCCGATGCGTCCCAGGGACATGAATAATTGTCTTGGTTTCCGCAATGAATCAGTTTCCGCAGTGAACAGAAAAAAAATAAGAGGAGAAGAAAAAAAAACGATAGTTTCGATTTCCCTCGGTGAATTACTGTAGGAGACAGAATGAAATAAGCCTAAAGGCACAAAATAGAGACTGTACAACTGAGTGAAGCCCAGTCGCCAAGCACCACGGAAATTTGACTAAAAACTAAGTGAGTCCGATGTGTGAGCTGTTGTACTTGCTTGCTATAATAGATATGGCAAAAGTGCCTAAACGCACGGAAATTTTGTTCTAGTTTCCACAAGGTTTGTATAATAAGCTACACCTGACGACAAAATTAAATTATTTAACAAAGTGGTACGTTTATATTGCCAGAGATTACACTCCCAGAGTATGTATAGGCGGACTGCTCGTATTGCAACTCCGCTGTCGAACATTGGCACCATGGTGAATCAACAAGATTAAATGAGAACAATTTGCTTTTAAAGTTACGTACAACATACCTACTATGTTCCGTAATTACTAATTAACCTTTTTGCAATTTTCTTTATGTAATAATTATAATCTGATATTGTAATAAAAATGGTGTTAATCAGTACATTTAACACAAACCCTGATAAAGCAGATTATAAAGCAATTCAAAAATGGCTATGAAGGTAAATAGTAATTAGTACAACTGTAGGTCATTGTGATAATTGATTTTTATTGCGTTGCTAACTTCGTTTTCATTATAAAAGAAGTCTCAGAACATTTTAGATATAAAGAAAAAAGGAAGGAAGAAACGAAGAAAAAAACTTCATTTCACACGCTTAAGAAAAAGGACATGTATGTATATCACATTGATTACGATGATTTTAAATTGTGTCTGTTTTATATGACAATAGGCTATTTTATAATCATTACCAAAAAATGCATGTAGCCTTGTAGTTACCTATAATATTTTGTATGAACTTTTATCTATTTCAGTGAATTCTTATTGGCATTCTAGCTATTTCCTTTATTATAGTTGCCTATATCTGGTCTCTTTTTCTTATTTTCTTATTAATCTCTTCTTTTCTTGTATTACACTTGACTGCCGAGTCTCCAAGCGGTCACTTATGACCGCTCTCCACTTAATCATTGTAGACCTTATTTACTATTTTTAGAGACTACTTTTGTATAAACAAATGTTGTGGATTTTTTATAATCGTGGATTAAGAATTTAAATGAACAGCTTGGTAAGTAAAGACTATAATAATGTTAGCTTACGTAGTAGGTTCATCGAGGAACATGATGAGAGGATTGTTGATCAGCTCCAGAGCAATGGACAGCCTCTTTCTCTGACCTCCAGAGAGCTGGGCACCTCTTGTGTTCATATGCTCGTACAGACCCAGGTTTGTTAGAATATCCTCAATCTGCAAGAATAACGGTTTTATATAGAAACGGTTACAACAAAACTTCTCTTTGCTTTGCTATAGGCGGAAAAAAGCGTTCGAAGAGACTAAATGACTACTATCCAAACATTTTAAAAGCCAATAGCTTTGATGGTATTTAAATATTTGTTTAGATTTCACTGAGAGAAGGCAAAAATAAACATAACATAACATCACGCCTTTTATCCTCGAAGGGGTAGGCAGAGGTGCACATTATGCCACTGTACAATGTAACACCCACTTTTCACTATTTATGTTATGAGTCCCATGTAATAGCGGGTGAGCCTATTGCCATATACCGGTCACAATTCCAGATTCCGTGCTACTATTGAGATTTTTTTTTTAAACCCAGTAATACTTTGCCCCACCCGGGAATCGAACCCGAGACGCCTTGCCCAGCAGTCGCACTTGCGACCACTCGGCCAATGAGGCAGTCAAAAATATAAAACGATATAATTTTTTACTACAATATGTATCTACGTATACAAAAAGAAATGGTTCTGTTAAAAAGTATTTTAAAGCTTTTTGGAACATCGAGTCACCAACATTGGCTGCATGTGATTGGCCTTCGTCTGCTGTCTATTGATTAATTGAAAAAAGAAAAATCAAGTGTCATTAAAACAAGTTAAAATTCGGTACTTTTTTCATTATTTAGCAAGATAATACAAAACTCAACATTAATTAAAATGTAAAATGAATTATTGTTTTACATGGCAGTCATATACAAACAAAGTTCCGTTTCTTTGAATTCTGCGAAATGTGCAATTTGTTGAAATTGGGTTACACACTGGTGACGACGTAACGAATGAATGTACCTTAAATGTTTTTAAATGTCATTTTGCACATACATATAACGTGCAATGACACTAAAGAGTAAGTAATAACATGTTATTTTGTCTGCAAGGTTTTGCTCGAAAGAACATCGACTGCCTTTTGTTTTTGTATCTTTTGTTTTTCAGCAATAGCAGATGTCTTGTGTAGACGTTAGTAGAATATCAGCCATTTGTGTTTGTCTTATTAGAATTAAGTTATTTGAACTCTGTCAAACGAGGTCCTTATGTTATATAGGTACGTCTTTACAGTTTTTCCGAGGATACGAGTACAAGATTACGAAAACGAGTGATAAGTACAAAACTCAAAAGTTTTTTAATCGCCTCATTCCTCAAAATCAGATGGATCGTTGAATTTGAATATATCAGTAAAGGTAATGTCAAAATAAGTTCAAAGATATGATTATTCTTTTTTATAAGAAGCAATCATATTCTTAAACACGTCAAAGAACCAAACCGCAATAGGTACAAATGTAGGTAATGCAAATTGAAGTTAAATAAATATTCGAGACATGTCTGTGTATGGCAATTATGAACTACGTGATTCATATGTTATCATAGGTGCCTATTTACAAAACCAGTATGTAGTACTTATGTGCGGAAAATATGTTGGAGCATAAGGAAGGAATTATTGTTTTACTGTTAGTAGCCTGTGGGCGTTTATGTTGGTATTGTCCCTTCCTGCCTAAGTGAAACATTTTTGCGTCCAGATTAAAATATTTTAAAACATGAGGCCATTTTCCACACTCAGATTAAAAGAAGTATTTCAGAAAAAGTGAACCGCATTCGTATTTCAAGACCAAAATCTTGTCGCTAGTGACGATAAGATACTTTTTTAAGGGAGGAAAAATCATCGAATGACTGCTCCCTCCTGGGTGAGGCGGGAGGTAGTGTCAGACTCTTACTGACCAAAAACCACTCCGTTCCTACTCCTGCACTTCGAGCCGGAGCCACGGTAACCCGTTAAGTTCTCCGCGGCTCAGAATCGGCATCAGCTCTATTGGTGAGCCGTGGTGGTCTGATGGCTCTATCAGGCGCGCGCCGTACGGTACGGTACGGCCGCTCAGGTTTGGTTTTGGTCGGGAGGCGAGCCACCCATGCGCGCCGTCCGCAGGCCCACGATACGATACTATTGAATCGTCTATTCATTGAAAGATTACTACGAAATAACTATCGTTTACTACCTACCGTATTTTTAATATAACTTATCCTGAACTAATATTTATTCAATAGGTATACTTACAACTTCTCCCTTCTCATATTTGTCTAACTTGGTGGGCAGCTTCAGATCGGCTGCCAAGGCCATGTTTTCTCCCACTGTCAATAGACCCTGGAGCCGGTCGTCTTGCTGGATGTAACATGACATCCTCTTGAACCTCTCTGTAATTACAAATGAAATATTTGAATGTATTTGTAGATATAGAAGTCATAAATGTTTATTAGACATGCGCAAAAATGTATTTAGTTATTATTTTAGGATAAATTGTCTATTACTACATATATATGACGACTAGAATTCTCTGTGGCGCCGAATCAATAAACACAAAATTACTTAAATAATTTGCATGCTAATAAATGTTTGGAATATCCTACTTTTCTCCAAACCCATTCTTAAAGTTACCAAAATAGAAACATAAAATACGGTGCATTCATAGTTTTGTCAGTCTTAGAAAAACATATCCAGACTACAGTCTATAGTTAAAGCGACGACGTCTAATCACATAAACGATTAACTAAAATAGATTTATTTATGGTTTGATAAGGTAATCATTAAACAAATGAAGATAATAAATAGTATCATAGCGCTATGGAATCGTGCATTCATGACTGACACGTTCTACTATCATGTGAATCGAGTGCTAGGTAACTGGAATCGAGACATCTTTAGGTCATGGTTATTGATTAAGCTGAGAATACTAGTTAAACCAGTAGGATAGTGGAACTAGCACATTAATGTAGGAAAGCTGATTACAAGTACGGTATTAAAATTGAACAGTAGGTAATACAATAATTTTCTAGTCTTCATTGTAAATTATCATTAATTCTTTTTAGTTTTTAGAGTCCATAATACATTTGCACCTTGCCTAAATATTTGATAAATCTTATTATGATTTCTTCCCGGTAATTAAAACTAAGCACTGAGCTCGGAACTGTCCAATAAAGCATAGAATTTTAAATTCATTTATTAATTTGTAAACATAGGTAGCAATTAGGGTCTTAAATAACATTTCTAACGTTATGTTAGCTTTCTATAATAACAACAACAAGTACGTAATCAGATATAATATTAATATTAATTTTCAATAAATTAAAACGTTTTTAAATAATTGCTACAGGTGAATAACTTGTTTTGTTCGCTTTGCATTCTCCGTAACACAAGTACATAAATATATTACCTTATACATGCGTAATACAATAATTATGCTTTTTGCATACCTATTAAACGATTCCAAACACAATTTTTTTAATTATGTCGCTCGACAATTGTGAGAAACTTATTTCTCTGTCTCTTTAAGATTTTATCTAAATTAAGTCGTAATGTTTAATTGGTTATTGATGTTAATGAGACAAAATTAAGTCTAAAGTCAAAAAATCCCAAAATCCCCAAGAATCTAGTTTCATCTTTTTTTTTTTAAGGGGGGAAAATCATCGAATGACTGCTCCCGCCTGGGTGAGGCGGGAGGGAGTGTCAGACTCTTACTGACTAAAAACCACCCCGTTCCTTCTCCTGCACGTCGAGCCGAGCCCCGGTAACCCGTTAGGTTCCCCGCGACATCTAGTTTCATCTTGCCAGCACCTTAGACGTGTTTAACTATTGACATTCATGTAGATATTATCTGTGAATGTGTTGCAGACAGACATAATACGACATAAACATATTACGCATAGCAAGTATCTATCTACCTTTCCAATCACACACATCGATGTCACACGTGAATGTGTTATGTCATGGCTGCATGAATGTAGTTCTAACCTAGGCAGGTTTATCTAACGCCTAGAATCCGGGTCCCTTGGTTCATTACTAATTATTTTGCACTGATAATGTTAGTGCAATCTAATTGCCAACTACTGATATTGTTTTCTACTTATTAAGGTTTTAATGAATTGCATTCCGTAATTAGTTGTAAAGTAAGCAAAATTGTTGCTAATATGGTTTTGTATTTTAGTTAACGCAGGTATTGAATTTGGGTCGTTCAATGACTGTTTCAAAATTACGTTCAGAAACTGGTTGTAAATCTTTTTTTAACTGACTTCTTTGGTAATTAAAATAAACATCACGAATGTCTAAATCTTGTGTGCGATCTCCCTTTGTTACCCAAATAAACGAAAACTTAAACTTGTTTAAATTTGGATCCATCTGTCCTTCTTACTGATAAGCAAAATTTCAAGACTTTACTTTTATTTAAAGTACTTTTAGGTTGATATTGTTTAAACACCAGTAGGTATTTCTTTTAAATCATAAATATCGTTGCCCTACACTAGGATTTTCTCCTGTGTCGTGGGAGCGTTTACAAACATTCAAGTTTATATACACATGACACGCAGACCTGGAACAACAAACTGTAGATCACACAAAGACTTATTCTGTGGGAATCTAACCCGCGACACGTTGCGAGGCAGTCAGTTGCCCAGCCACCGCGTCCCCGTGCACTTATTTTGTCACTAATTTTCATACCACATATAATTACGGTAGTACAATAATACTCACTCATTATCCTTCCTCTGCCATTAATGAAGACTGCTCCTCCAACGCCGGTGATGCGGTACCCAGACAGTACATCCAGGAGCGTAGACTTTCCAGCTCCTGAAGGTCCCATGATGGCGATAAGCTGACGAGGACGAAGTCTGCCATTGACTCCGTGGAGAATTTGTTTGCTACCTGTAACAATAGCATTAATGTGAGATAAGTGCCGTATTTTCTACCTCCTTAGCTCCTTATACTAATTAGGGGAACGTGGGAATTTTCTACCACTGTACCAGAAACTGCTAGGCTATGAACTAAGTTAACTACATTACATAAACAGTAGGCTCCGCGACATCGCCGCGACCGCGCACTTGCTATGAGGAAGAACTCCTCTGTTGTTCGAAACTAGTAGAGCTTTTCTCAATATTTTCACGTGAGTAGCCCGCGATTTTAGTTAATTTAGTATGGTCTCACGATGGTTATTATAAAATCATGCTAGGCTATTCTTTAACTGTCAATTGGAACTTGAGTGAGGGCGAACCCATTCTTGTCGAGATTGTTCTCAAAACCAATGACATGAAAGAAGAGATACACCTGGTTTATGGAGTAATGTGATTTGCAAAACCTTTGCATATAAAATATTGTAATAGATGCCTTTTCCTGGTACTCATAATGTTACTAGACGAAAAGATGGTGTCGCATTTACTTTATAATGTACCCACATCTTGATTTTTGTCTGAGACGGTTAAAAGTTGTCAAATTATTTGTATTATCAAATTCACCACTCGACACTGGCAGTATAGTCGACAACACCGTTTTGACTGAAAGGAGAGACTCGGTTGCCAAGAAGAAAAACAAAGTTTATTATGTTATGTGTTTCCTAAACAATTCTCCGAAAACAGAATAATCTACCCACCTTCCTGAATGGCACAACAGCCACCTATTTACTTGTTAGTTTGACCTATAATATGGTAGCTCGCCCAGTTTCCGTGGTCCGTTTCAACCCTGATAACCCTTACTGACGTCAGAGATTAACACCACAGCGTTCCGATGCACTTGAAGTTGTGTAGTTAGTATAAAATTAGTAATTACTTACTGAGCGACATCCTGCCATTAAAATTCAAGGCTTTTGTAATCTACAATTTGTCATTGCGTACTTACTACCTAAGTAGGTATTTTTAAAACTACAGATATTTGTAGGTAGTATTTATCAACAAAAGTAAACGATTGTAAATAGTGTTTTTATTACAATTGATAGTGAATTTAAAAATAATAACATTGAATTAAACACTCACGCTGATACTGAGAAAAGCTCTACCAGTTTCGAGCTACTGAGAGGCTCTTCCTCAACTGTCTGTGGCTCGAAACTAATAGAGCTTTTCTCAGTATATTCACGATCATTTAGTTAATTTAGTATGTCTCACGATAGTTATTATAAAAACATAATAATGTTTTGTAATATATACTGAACACTGTGGCGACACATGATAGAAAATCCTAACGAACAACTGTTGAGCAGAAAGCCCGCCAGGCACAAACACCTCGCCTGGTAGGAGGATCCTCCTTTTCCGATCTTAGGGAACTATACCCTCTGTTCCCTAGTATATATATTTTTATATTAATTATCGTGATACTTTGGTTTATACATGGTTGACACCTTAATATATGAGATTTTGTTCAGAATTATTTGTTACCACCTTAAGCGCCACGTAGGTCACAAGGACGTATGTTTCGACGAATTGCCGTTTAACAATTTTCACGAAGTAGTTAAGGTTGAATGTTGGTGTTTTTCCACGCCTTTTATGATTTAAAGGTGTATTTTACTTTCTGTATTTATTTTCATGGTCGACCTGTGTTTATTTATGGTTTTATTATGAGAATGTTCCGATATATTTATAAATTTAAGGTGATAAAAATAATTATTGCTGTTTTTAATTAAGCCCATAAAAATGTTGAAATATGGTTGGTTCCATTATTATATCGATATTCTAAAATCACTCTTCAGATAAACGTAGAAATTTAAATCATTGATAGCTACATAGATATAAAAAGAAATGTATGTAGAGAAATTATATTTTCTTTAAAAATTATTGTTCACATTAGATTTAAGTAATTAAACTTTTTTTTATGTTACCATAGATAACATTTAGAATCTATGGATTTAGACCTGTCAAAACAAGAAACGTGTTAATTTAATTTTCTATGGAAACTAATTAAAATTGATAAAAAAAGGAATTTGGAATTTAAATAATAGGCTTAATCGTCGTTTCTTTAATTTACAGGTGACATGATCATTATTATTTTGTTACTAGATTATTAGTGTACCTACATAGGTTATGTTTTATGTTAAATAAAAAACTTTAATATACAGAACAACACGTGGTTTATTACTTCTACTTCAAACATTTTCAAATCACCCAATTATTACATGTACCTATTAATAGCACTTTTATCAACAAATTAAATAACTAAATGATTAACCAACATACAGCAAAATAATAAATCAAAAAGATAGTAGTAATAGTTGGTTAAACTTTCATACCTTTGACCGACCTTGTAGAATTTTATCAAATAATTGATACTCAATATTAATCTTATCTATATAAACCGCAGCTGTTACATATAGTATACTAAAAATGTATAAATTGCACAATTAAACCTAATCTTTAGTTGTTATGTATTCATTTTGGTTATTAAAACAATTAACTCTATTATAGTAGACAAGTAGTTAGGCAGATCCTCCTAGGGCCGCTAAAGTGGCGGGACCTGCCGCAAACATAGCGGTAGATTGAAGCCTGCCGGATGTGGTGATTCCGTAAGGGCAACCCGGGTCACGGTCACAGGCAGTGAAGGAACACCGCGGTGGTTTTAGCCGGTAAGAGTCCGGCACGCCCCCTCGTCGTCCCCACGACGCGGGAAGTCCATGAGGATTTCCATCGCGATAGAAAAAAAAAAAAAAAAAAAGTAGTTAGGCAGATAGGAGTACATAGTCGCCAACATGCTAAGAAAAACCCTATATAAAGACCGACCAACTAATTATTATAATACATGAAACATTTAGGATAACGCATTTGTAACACCTCTGGTGTTTCGGGTGTGGACGACGCCGATTACTTACCATCAGGTGATCCTTACGTCTGCTCGTTTACCGGCTTATTGCATAAAATGGCATGGTTAAATTATTTGCTTTTGCTAACCACATACCAATTTATTATTTTGTTAGTAGTATATATTATTTTAAAGATAATCCAGTAAATAATGGACCAATGAATAAACCCCCCTAAAATAGCAAATACAAGTAGGTACTATAGATAAAACATGGTGAAAATTAGCAACTACATAATAAGTATCATGTAATGTAATATCGATATTTACCTAGTTAATCCTCCTACAGTAAATAAAAATACGAATCCTAATCTAGCTCTTAACGTTTCTTTTGTATTTATACACCAACTGTTTATAAATATATCTTTGTCTTTGAATTTTTGATTATCTTAGAAGATTCTTCGAATATATCAACATGACAAGTCTTAAAATATCAGTTACAATACTGTGTTGTAATATCATCTCTGAAGTGAATTAATTTAGTACGAATACATGTCATTGGATCATTAGTTAGTCGTAAATTGTTAGTGTGTAAAACTATATCCTTTAGCTCTATAAATTAATCTCATGTGTCATGTCAATTGGTTATAATTTATAACAGAGCCTATGTCTATTGTCATGTCGCGGAGAACCTAACGGGTAACCGGGGCTCCGGCTCGACGTGCAGGAGAAGGAACGGGGTGGTTTTTAGTCAGTAAGAGTCTGACACTCCCTTCCGCCTCACCCAGGCGGGAGCAGTCATTCAATGATTTTCCCCCTTAAAAAAAAAATGTCTATTGTCATACGGCCAGACTCAATCCAATCTCAATCCAAAGTCTATGGAATTAAAACAGATTTTTAATTGTCATTTTAGTGGTACGGAGTTTCTGAGACAAACTTAAGTCGATCCAATTTTGAATTAAGAACGATCATTAATTTCGGTAAGTCCAAAGAAACCCTAGAAGTGTCTTTAAATCCCCTGGTATTCAAACTTAAACGATTTGAAAGTATTAATACCCTATTAAATCAATGTGTAATAACGAATTTAAGTTTTTCCATTTTTCTTAAAATTCTCTTTTACTTTGTCTGCTAATATTTAATAATCTCTTCTTAATTATTTCTTCATTATATTCTGGATAACAATCCATCAACATCTACCTTCATTAGTACTAACGCAATTCATCTTATTATAATTACTTACTTATAGCGATTTTTTTACATGAAAAAACATAAAGAATAATTAATTTTTTCAGTTTCTTGCTTTTATACACTATGGTAGACTTTTCTAAAGAATTTTTTTTATAAATATCCGTTATAAAATTAATGTAACGAATGAATTTGAATTTGTTCGACAATTATATTAATTTTAACCAAAAACAAAATATCTTTGGATTTACATACTTAATATTATGTAGACAACTCACTTTACATAGACAAGCAATTTATGTATGAAACGAAATACAGACACATGTCAACAATCCGTGACAGTCCATACAGCTTTTTTTAAGTGGGAAAATCATCCAATGACTTCTCCCGCCTAAGTGAGAAGAGAGGGAGTGTCAGACTCTTACTGACTAAAAACCATCCCGTTCCTACTCCTGCACTTCGAGCTGGATCCCCGGCAACCCGTTAGGCCTTGGCATCAGCCCTATTGGACCCCATCTGTGGTGGTCTGATGGCTCCTTAAGGCGCACGCTACAGTCCACAGTTAGACTATGTGCCTCTTCTACAAAAGAGGTATTTGCTCTTATCTCTTCACATGGCAAGCGAGTTGGACATCACAGTTAAGACATTGACTGCCAATAAAAAACAGTTGAAGGTAAATCCTCCGCTAACGCCGGTCACCGGTGACCCACCCCCATGGCGTTTAACGTGTTAAAAAGGGTCAGATTTATCAACGAGCTGCTGGTCCCAATTCTCCCTTAAATATGAAATCTTATACGACGTCCTCGAGAAGACTAGGACGGGGTGAGAGGGGGGAAGATATAAATGTATTCTACTCTGCTGTTACCAACTTAAGTTTACCCCAGTAACGAGGTAGACTAACAAAAACTTGGCCGAGACAATGAAAAACTGCAACTTACTGGTACTGCGCAAAAAGCTCGCGCATG